TCGTCGAAATATTTCGAAATATTAGAAGAAAAATCTGGCCGCTAGCCTAACTGAAATGAATTCGGAATTATTTATATTTTCATAGTCTGAAAATGTTAATCTTAAAGACCACAGTGACCTAAAATTGTTAACTGATTTTTAACACAAATTGTAGTACAATTTAATTTTAGCCTAAGTTTAAATTGACAAAAACCACAATTCCATAGTGGCCTAGGTAGTACGGCCAGTATGGCACTGACACGTTAAACACTAGAAGCCTCAAATAATAACTGACTTGATTTCTTACGTTTAATGTTATAAATATGCATTCAAACAAACGCTGATTTATAGCTGATCGACTTTAAGCAATATAATCTATTACATATTTAATCTTAAGCATTTAAACATTATTTATTATGTATTTATTTCCTAAAATTATTAAAAGGGATTGACAGACGTACTGTTTTCATATGCCAGTATATTTACTAAAATTATACAATGTATCTCGTCTAAAATTCTTACACTAACGCCCGAACCCAATTTCGTAACGAGATTAAATACGCAGTACATATAAATCAAAACCCTACGAGTTTCGGACGAAATAAATCAATTCATCGTAAAAGCATTACAAAAAGCCACAAAAGCCTTCCGAATACACGAAGTGCCCAAACCCTATCTTTTGAGTCCCATAAATACGGGGATGCCTCCAAGGGCCCGCCGGGTCTATTCTGATATTGTGAAAGTTTTCCTGCGAGAAGCGATCGAGCAAGGTTCCAGGTTTAATTGGATTCCACAGTTGGATTTCCCAAAGGCGGCCTGTCAGACGCGCCGAAACGCGCGCTTACCGCACTTGTTAAGTCGACTTGTTTCTAGTTTCATTAGCAAACAATGTTTTGATGGCGTGGCTGCAATCGTTCGATCGGAAATTATTGCACAGATTACACTACAAGTCTAAGAGGGAATTGTACAAAATAGCCTCCCCATCCAACGAAAATATTATCGAATTATATGTTGGACAAACTAAAATAGCCTTAGGAAATAGCGAAACAACAGATTTTATCAAAAACTAGCTAAGTCGGCGATTTCGTCCGCGGGAATCGTTATTTTGAACATCCATTCGTTTATGCAAGCCCCTTAATTTTTTTTATGAAATTAAGCTACTGCTGTTTAATACAATTTTTTTGGATATCTTGAACTGTTTTTGCGGCGTACGCCTCGGAGACCCATAATGGTGAATAATTTCATTTTTTTTCACATTTTACGCTATATAATTATTAACTATAATTATTATTTCTATTTCGCTGTTTTATATATCGGCTTTTACTATGCGTTCAACCGAATATAAAAGTGTTATGCTTCGTGCAAAGTAAAGGTGTACCTATTACGATATAGGAATGGAAATTCTTTTTTCCAAGAAAAGAACTCGGAATTCGGGAGTTTTTGATCCGTTGGTAATTGTGCCTCTAAGTGGAACACTCCAAGGTATAGATTAGAGTAATTTTCAGTACAACTCAAAGATAATGGCAACCCTTAGATAACGAACCGGAGAAGGTCTGCACACAGTACTTACTTTACGAACAGTAATCCTTTTCATTCCATTACATTATGTTTTGTAAACTATAATAATGCGTATTATCAAATAAATTTTGTATTTTCTGATTTATAGCATCGTAAACATTGGAGGGCTGGTTTATCTACAAAACAGCTGAATGTAGAAAGAATAATCACCACAGATGAAAAACAAAATAATTATTATTCAAATCTAATTAAACACTTTAACCATTTAAAACGCTATGTACATTAGTTAAACTTATTTGAAAAATAAGCCGTGGTCTCGCCGTGACCGTGACTTGAAGTTTAACTAATATATATATCGCGTTTTAAACCGTTAAAGTGTTTAATTTAAATGTGTACTACTCGCGTAAACTACAGACAGTATTTATTTATACTTTAACAATCTTTCGCCTGGAAGATAATGAAACAAAATTCGTTTTAAGCTGGCTAATTCTATGTAACTTTTCTTTTGATATATTTTTTAAATAAATGCTCTATCGGCTAAACAATATTTGGTTGGTAAACCGAAATTAATCAATATCACTTATTATTGTTATTTCCAATAAATATATCCTTTCTTATTTACTGGGTTACATTACCAACAGGTTGGTTGTATTGAAGCAACTGTTTTAATCCCCTAAACTGTGGTTCCGGTAAATTGTCTGGAGGCTTTACCGGGAACTTTTTTCATCGAAAACATTAGAAGTGTAATCGCCTAACGAGTGCTTTCCTCTCGGGATCCTAAATTGGGCACTTCCCTCCGTTTTTAGGATTCCGACACCTGTTGGGTTTATTTATTTGTACAAACATACATTTATAAGATATTATTGGTTTTTACGCGTTAGCAAAACGAAAAGATTTTCCATTATTATTAAAAAAAAAACATTGTTAATCCTTGATGAAATCTTTGAATTTCAGCAAAACAGTAGAAGGTATATGATTAAATGTGACACAATTCGTCCGATATTCGATTCGATATTCCTACCACACATTTAATATCCGAATTTCCAAATAAAGTATAACAAATTTACAAATAGATTGGAAAATTTTTGACCTGGTAAGAATCTAACCCACAATCCATTGATTTATCACTAATCTTCACTACAACAAAAAGGTATTATAAAAATTCAACTCTCTATAGATTATATATACGTTAAATAATTAAGAGTATTCTATCAAACAAAAAAGTAAAGAAATATAGAATCTTTTCCGCTGTTCGTTACGTAGGTTATCTAGATACGTTAAGTGGTATCGTTTGGAGGAAAAGCATTTCCCTGTAGCTGTAAAGAGAGATTTTTACGGTTTCAGGTTGGGGCGAGAGTTCCTTGTTTCCTCTTTTATTGGCAGACTTAATTGAAAGGAGATATATGCAGCTTAATTAAATACCGGCAAACGTTTGACAAAATACGTTTACTAATTTAGGCAATAAATTAAATTTAATTAATTCAGTATGTAATCTATGTAAGTATATGCATTATCTATTATTATGGGTTAACAGTAGTAGCCTATCTACGAGCCGTGGGTTCGATTCCTACTAAGTCCGTGTGTACGTGTTTCTAATAGGTTTATAATTTTCTATACATGTTGGACTATGTCTGAATATTTAGATTTTAATTAGGTGGTATGAATATCGAAAATGCGGGTTGGAAGATTAGGTAAAAGTATTTTTGGGACTGACTACTCGTGCCTAAGTAAGAGTAAGAACACTACTTCCAAACTTTGAACTAGATCTAGAAAAATAGTAGTGTGAAAGCCCGTTTCCCCTGGTGGGGCATGGGGGGAACACATTTCTATGTCCGTTTCACTGATCCGTTCTTTTTAACAGGCAAGTAGTTGATCAGACTTCTGTGCCCTACCCGACCGGAACAACTTTTTTTTTTTCCCTGGGATTCGATCCCAGGACCTCTCGGGCTTAACGCAATGCTAGGCAATGCGTTTAACCATTTGGCTACATGGGCGGACAAAAATTAAAAATAGTAAAGTTGCATTATTTTTCATAACGGAGTTCGAACTCTAGACTTACTGACTTGAAGACGAGTAAAGTAACCACAAAATTTACGAACTAATAAATGAAACTTTCAGATACTAACGCTATTTAGTTTGGCAGCAATATGGAAAACGCCATAAGACGAGGGTAATAAAATTATGCAACACGATAAACAGGAAGCAATAAAATTTGGCGCCATCAGAGATACAGCAGTATCTATGAGTACGGTGACCATAAACTGTATTTTCTATTTCCTTTTTCTATTTTTTATTTATTAAAGAGCACATAAAAATACCGACTCTATATTTAAATTGTTTTCTTTAACAGAAATGTGTTAGTAAAAGATCAGGTATCTTGTAAACTATAAATGGTATAAGGCTTTTGCGGCAATTTTGCGAATGATTAATTGAGAAATGATTTTTGTTGCTCTGCCATCACCACTAGATATCAGCATTTTGAGAAATCCCAGATATCACTTTCTTTCATACAGTTTCTTTAAGGTGGATTTAAAATTCCCAGGTTTTTCTTAAACATTGTCACCCTACAGAGTTGTTATAGAACAGTACTAAAATAGTGATTAATTGTATAAAATCAATTTGATAATATGAAGTATGTATTGAATCTAAAATTAATGGTGTTACTTAGAGATTCAATACAAAATTGTCTACGTGGTAGGACAGAAAGACAGTATATATAATTTTTATTTTTTATTAAAAATCAACAAATTCACAAGTAATCTCATTAGGTTTTTTGTTAAATTAAAATATGAATAACATAGTAAAGGTTATAATGCCTAAAAATAACGGAGAGTAAAAAATGATTAGCTTGAGTGAATATTAAGAGCAACTTTGAAACACTACCAATTATTGAACGTTAAACTATCATTGAAAAACATTTTACTTTAATAAAATGAAAAATGATAGAGTAAATATAATTTTAAATTGATAGTCGACTCAACTTACTTTAGAAAAAGGAAAGAGAGTTAAAAGTAGACTAGAATATAGGACGGGCTTTGAAATAGTCAAAATAGTGAAAATTTTCAATTCCCTACATTGGGAGCGAACTGACTAATGTAAACGAAATTGTACAATTAATATCACAAGAAAGACAACTGATTAATAGAAGTAATAATTAATATTTGCTGACAAAGTGGAAACAAGAGAATAAGTAACTTTACTAGTTGCGTGTACAACATCAACGTTAGTTATAAACATTTTTTTTATTAAGTCTTATTCACACAAGTCGAGTAAATTTTCACAATTTATAAGAACATTCGTCAACTTCGGTTAACAAAATTCCTTAGTTTATTACGTATACTTAAGTCTTAAGAAACAATTATAATAACTTACAACATTTACAAGTAGATCAATGTTTATCGTAAACTTTTTCAGCGATCGATGTCGAATTTTTATTGATTCAAGATATGATCTTTGTTAATATTAAAAATTAATGGTTTCAAGAAACGTGGACTTTAGTTTGTTTAATCATCAGTGCCTGTGATCCATTGAAGGTATTTGAATGACCTGGATTGGACTGGGGGAGCTCTGGATTCCCGGTGACGAGGTTGCTGGTACGTGACGGGCTGCTCTCTGAAAAAATATTATTCAGATATGAATAAAAGTATTCAAGAAATGCGAATGAGCGGGGTGTAATCAAGGAAATAATTTTACATGACCACTTCTGTAGCTAAATGTTTGAACTATTGCGCTAGCCTCAAAAGGTCTTGGATTCGAATCCCTGGGAAACAATAGAATATCTCAGTCCTGCTACTACTTGCCTGTAAATAAGACTGATCTGTGAAACGAAAACTGAAATATAGTAGCCCTCTTTCCCAGGGGGGTAAATGATAATTACATTTTAAGTTTTATTTGAAGTTGTAAAGTAGTCTTGTCTTTCAACGATTTATAAAATTACTGCGTGCAAACTTGACAGTACATTGAAATATCTGACAAAATTTTTAATGTCTAAGGAAACCTTTAACTATCTCATTACTCACCTAGGTTCAACTGAGGCTCTAGAATGGTAGGCGGGCACGTTAGGATTGTGGTAGGTTTGCCCCTGAACGATCGGGTCCAAAATGTGACTCGCTGGTGGCGGATGCTCCCTTGTCAATGGCGATTGGTAATTATTAGGGTTATATCTGTCTACAGAAACCCCTCTAGTCCGGTCGGGGGCTCTGTCGAAATTACTCTTAACATAAGAGCTTTGTGGTCTTCCTCGGCCTAAAGTGTTTGTTTTCGGCCATTCCTGAGACCCAATGTACTCTGGTTCATAGCTTCTCTCACGCCACGACCTCGGGTTCAGGGTCTGAGTCCAGGTCGGGGTGGGTGTGAAATCTTTTGGCGCTGCGTATTTTGGATCATCTTCCCAGGGCGGACGTACCGACGTGTGTTCTGTGTGAATAGTGGTTTTAGACGTTTGTTCCTTGAATTCTCTTAACTCTTTTCGCCACTGCGGCTCAACTACTTCTGTCGTTTCGTTATTGTCGTAGTAGTATTGAGGAGAGGGATCGGGTTGAGCTTGGAACTTCGTTTCGTTTGGTATGTACGTGGCTTCTGGCACTGATATATAGCGTCTCTCATATTCGCTGTAGTAAGTCTTCCGCCCTTTCTGTTTAGGTGGTTCGATAATTACAGGCTTTACGAAGGACTGATTTGGTGCGGGTGGTATATAGGCTTTGGGGGCTGGTTTGGGAAATTTAGGTGCCGGTTTGGTGGGTTTCCATTCATTAGATGGAAACGCTGTATTTAACGGTGGCGGTTGGTAGTAGTTTTGAGTCGAATTGTCCACAACGTAGTTGGGGTCTTGTTCCCATGGAGGAGGCACGTATGATGAATGTTGAGATGACTTTTGATACGATTCTGAATAGTCTTTTTGGTGAGAGTATTGGTTTGGCTGTGAAGTGGTTAATGGCTGAGAATCGAGGCTACTATTCCATACAGGTTTCGAATTGTAAGAAGGATACGAGGTTTGTTCATACTGGTTTTTACTCGATTTATAAGTCTCTTGCATCGTGTTATCTACGTAATTTTGTTGGTATTGTGGTTGTGGATGGTATAAAGGCGCAGTTTCCTGCACTGGTGTTTGGTAAGTCGGTTGTGTCGGGGGATGCATTTGGGGTTGAGGTTGGTAAGTTGGTTGAGTTTGAGGTTTTGGTTGATACACTGGTTGGTGTGACTGTTGTGGAGGTGGTTGATATGTTGGTTGCGGTGATGGCTGTATTCTTGGTTGAGGTTGATACAATGTTTCATATGCTGATTGTGTTTGAGGTTTGGGTTGGTTGAATAATGGCTGCTGAGTTTGCGGTTTGAATTGTGTTTGAAAGTTTTGTTGACTACTGTATGAATCCGAAGGTACAGAACTCGAGGAAGTTACATTATCAGTCTCACTCCTCTGATACCATTGCTGGTTTTTACTTACTGTGCTCGGTTTAACATTATTCACTATAAGTATCTCGGATTGTGGTTCTTGCGGATATTGTTTATCTTCATAAGTTTGATTGTATGTTTGATAATTGCTTTGGTAAATGTCTGAAGGCATTTGTCGTTCTACGCTTATTCTCTCTAATAATAAGCTGTGACGCCGTTCCGTGTTATCCTCAGGCGTTGAGAATGGTTGGTAAGATCTAAATATAGGTTGAGGTGATATTAAGTTTCTATCCAATGTCGGTGGAGTAAATGTTTTGATACTTGAAACGTTGTCCGGGATTTCTTCGTAAGCATGGTCTAAGGTTTTTGTCGTACGATTAACAGTCACAATATTTTCAATTATGTTATATTCAGTTTGTGTGCTGGTTGAACCGACGGGCTTGTCAGTAGTTTTAGTTATTATCTCAGTGTGTGTTTTTGTAATTACCTCCTTCGCCGGGCCTATAGGCTTGATCTCAATTTCTTCAACTTTGTCTAACGGTACAGTAGGTGCCGGCTCATGTTCGTTCTTTTTTATCTCTTCTTGTTCTTTACTGTTAGTATTATGCACTGTTTCAGTTTCTATTTTAATAGGTATTTCTTTAACTTTATCTATACAATTGTCTTTAATATCATTTGGTGACTGGTCAGGTTCAATTTTCTCTGTTTGATTCAAATCTAATTGGGTAGATGTTTCATTAGTATTGCATTCATTTTGTTCTTCTTTAGCTGTCTCGGTTTTTTCCACTTCTTCAGGTTTATCGATTTCTTCGGCTTCTTCTGCTTCTTCATATTCTTCTTCGACTTCTTCATCCTCGTCGACATCTGCTTGTTTTTTTGGTTCCAAGATGTTTTCAATCTCTTTTTTCTCGGTTTTCTCTTCTACGGCTTCTTCTTCCTCTTCTTCTTCTTCAACTTCTTCGCTATTCTCTTCAATCTCGTCTGGAGCATTTTGTTGCAAGAGGGCTGATTCTTTTTCAACTACCTCATCATTGACGTTGTCGTCCTTAGAATTGTGTACGACGTTTTTATCCTGTATTTCTTGTTTTTCTGTGTCTTCAGTTATATTTTTAACCGTCACAATTTCTTCGCTCTCAACATTATCAGGCTCGTCTATTTCTTCATATTCTTCCTCATTTTCTTCATCAGATTTAGTTTCTGACTGTATAATTACTACCTTTTTCGTAGTACTGGATTCGTGTTTTTCTTCTTCTGTTATAATTTGGCCATCATTTTTTGATAATACCACTTCATGCTCTTTACTTTCATCTTCGTTTTCTTCTTCTTTACCATTTAATTGAGCTTCATGTTTATTAGTATTTGTATTCTGATTAATTTCATTTTGATTAATTACTTCTGTTTCGTTCGTTTCTTCCTCTTCTTCTTCTACGATTTCATATTCTACATCTTCATCATCGCATTTAGGATAAGTTGTAGTTTCTTTTTCAGTTGTTATCTCTGTTCTACCGTCAATAGTAGTCGTGGTTGTTGTCGTTTTAACCTCTTGTATTGAACCATCTGGCAAAGTATTTTTTACTACTTCTACCTTTGTCTCTGTTTTAGCTTCGGATTTTTTTGTTGGTAATTTTAAAGTAATTGCCGTATTTGTATCTCCATTTCTATTTTCTGTAGATTCTTCTGATGTAGATTTTTCATTAAGAACTTTTGTTTCTTCCTGAAAACGAAGAGGATTTTATTTAAATATATTATTATTTAAGTAAACAAGACATATATTTGTTATTTTATGTTTATTGTTATTCACGAAAGACATAAAAATAAATAAATATATAAAGAGAAACGACATGAACTCACTGTTCATATTAGTAAATTTTCTACAGATCTTTAACACTGTAGAGTAGATACATGTAACATATGATATACACAGACATAAAGATATAGACATAGTAAGTATAGAGTAACTTCAAATCAACCTTTTTAATATACGTTTGATCAATATCCACCAGCGGAACAGTGTTTGTTTCGTTAATACTTTTATAGTCTGTAATCGTTGGTCTTTCAGGTATTGCATCAAAATAAACTGGCCTCATACTTTCGTATGTCTTGGGTATTACAGCGTCTGGTTTTGTTTGTTTATTTAATGTATTTTGTATAAATTCAGAATCGTTTCTTTCCACTAATTGTGTCTTTGCACTGCTTCCATAATTTGTAGGTGTCTCATTGTAACTGTGCTTTCTTGGCAATGTATTATTTGAGACAGTGTTCAGATCCGAACTTTTTCCCGGCAGTTTGTCATATGGATCAGGATTGCTCCTTGTTCGTAGCAACGTTTTGGGATTCGCTGGCAACTGAAATGTCGGAAACACTTGTACGGGCAAACAATTATAATTAGGCATGACGACGGGCATCGAAAGAGGCGGAGGCGACTGAATCGCATGGGGCGGTGTTTCAGGAACGCCCTGATTCATGGCATTCCTCATCAGACGTTGGGCCATGCGCTCCGATTTGATCTCGGAGAGGTCAAGTCCCCCTGGAGTGTAGGTGAACGGCTTGCGTTCTCTACTCATGGCCCCGGCTAGCGCTGAGGGCGGATTCATATTGCTGAAATATTATCTACGTTATAACACTATCTTTATTTCTATTTTCTGGCAAACTGACAAAAATGAAAAAGTATACTCACAAGAGTATTTACATGTACTTCCTGATAGGAATATAAATCCAGCCACAACTTTCACATCACTACGCGAATCACAGAACATGCAGATTACTAGTCGCAGCGGTTAATTATAGCCGGGATAGTAAATGAGCCGGTACATTTGAATGCCGTCGGATGTAACGCGCGGTCGGCGCGTGCGCCGCTTGCCTCCTACTGCCGAACGCCCGCAACCGCCATGTATTTTAGGCGCGACCCCAATATTAACGGCTGTCTTGTCTTCAATTTGTCTATGCGAATCGTCACAACAATAACGCTTACGCTTCCGTCACTTTCATCTTTAACGCTTTCTCGATATTCAAGGTCTAATCTGTATCAGTGAACAGACATTTTTCAAAACTTGCAGCTCCATTTTATCGTACCTATATGCTTCAGCGTTTCTTACAGCGTCGTGCTTTAAATAACATATTGCAGAACTCATTTTAGGAAATACTTTTTCATTCTATTCCATTCGTACACTTCCAGGGATTATAAAGTTTTAGTAAACGTATGAAGTCAAATGCATATTATTGCATGAATTAAGTAACGTCTTTGTCGTATTGGTATTTAAAATAAACAATTGAATATAAACACATAGATAATTTAGAAGAAAATAGTATGTTTTTCATTCTCAATATAGAGAATGAGAAACATACTACTTTCTTCTAAATTAACTTTTTTAACGCATTTGCGTATTCGTAAACATTTCTAGCTTAAGAGAGTAAGTAGGTATACTAACAAATATTGTAATGTATGTATTTTAAGCTATTGTACTTATGTAAAGTACAATAGCTTACTCAGGAGCCCTTACAATTATTCCACATTCACCATTTACAAGCGGCTTAAAAATAAGATTTAGTGCAGACGAGTGTTTGTTTGTACAAAGTGTAGCATTCGTTATTTTTGACTTTTAACCAATTTACATGAATTTAAATAAAACACTTTAACGCTTTAAAACGCGATATATTGGTTAAACTTATTTGGAAATGATATTTAACTTCGGCCCGACGTTTCGGATGCTTTGCAGCAGCCGTGGTCACGGGCAGATAAGTTTAACTAATATATCGCGTTTTTAACCGTTAAAGTGTTTTATTTAAATGTGTACTACTCGCGTAAACTATAGACAGTATTCAATTTACATGAATTTATTAACGATAGTTGTAATGCTATTGTTATTTTGATAATAATCACACACTGTAAACATATGCAGTAGTACAAGTAAGAGAGTGAGGTTTTAATGAGCTAGTTGGTCCAATGGTAACAATGTATGGCTAATATTCTACGAGTTCTGGATTCGATCTCCACCGACCGGTGTTCTGAAACATGTTGGACTTCGTTTGGTCCTGGATATCAAACGGATGGTAGGAATATAACAGTTCCGTCCGGGTCACCACCACCGTGCACAGATGAAAAAGCCGCGAAGCTTAATAGCGATTCGGTTTCAGTCTGTGGATTACAGACTAACCAAAGCCAAGGTCGACAGGGCATCTTGTTTAGATGCTATAGGCTAGATGCGATCGTCTGTCTTCCTCTCTTGTAAAAAAAGAAAGCTAAGTACCAAATTATAAGCGGTGAGATCTAGACGGCAAGCCATAAAATTATTTTCACGTGACACTGGCATTGAAAAAGCTGTCTTTCAGTCACCGAACTCTCACGAGTTTCCGAATATTTGGCACAAGTACACAACATTTAAATAAACTTTACTTTTAGACGCTTTGTGACATTATTACGTCGATGGCCATCAAGTCAAAACTTTAAAGCAGTTTTTAGTTTTATAAGTTTTTAGTTTTATAAGTACTAAGAATTATAAATTGTTGCCATGAAACACTTTATTGGTTAAAAACGCGAAATATATTAGTTAAACTTATTTAAAATATATTTTACCCGGCCAGTTTTGCCAAATATCAAGACGAAACAGATGACGCTAGCGTAGTACTTTTTACTTTGACATTAGAGAAATCCTCCATCTTCAGTCTTCCCGTGACCACGGCTGTTGGAAAGCATCCGAAACGTCGGGCCGTAGTCTAAATAATTTTATAATATTATTTCACGTTTTCAACCTATTTTATTCTATTTAAGTATTTTAATTTAAATGCATACTGCACGCGTAAACTACAGACAGTATTTAATTTTATAGAATATAATAAAATACGTTTATTCAAAAACAACATTTACAATTAAAACTTAATGTAATAAACAATATCAAGAAGTAAATAAAAAATTTAATCAAATACTATTAAACTTAAATACTATAATATAAATTTTTGCCTACGTCGCATTCAAACAGTTACCACTTTTCTTATCTATTTTAATATTTGTAGCTATCTCATTCGCCTTATAAACGATGTTTTATTTAATATTACGAATATATGTTAACCAATTGACATTACAGAAATTATGTACGATTCAATATTATGTTATATATGTAGGTGTCTGTAATAAGTTGACCTACATAAGTCCCAGAGCAACTGCGAGCGCAAGTTTCAGTGGCAGAAGCTGACAATTTAAACGGAAATCAGTTGGCAAGCTGGTGTGTAGTGACGAATGTTGCAACTCACTGACGGATTTTCAATCGTTAGCGGAGGAATACGGAAATGCTCCGCGCTACTGGGTGACTGACTAGCGTTGTTATGTCTTCAGTTATTTATATCGGAAGTAAGACACGGTAGTTAGAATCTACACTAATATATAAAGCTGAAGAGTTTGTCTGAACGCGCCAATCGCAGGAACTACTGGTTCGAATTGAAAAATTCTTTGTGTTGGTTATAGCATTTATCGAGAAAGGCTATATTATAGGCTATAAAATATTGCGCTGCGACTTATGGGAACGAAAAAACAGTGGGAAAATGTATGTTTTCTGGGTATCCGTACGAAACGAACGGTTCAAGATACCAGTACAAAATAATGATACCTTTCAAAATTACTTTTAAAAATGTCAGCGACGTGTTTATCTTTCAAGATTAAAATTCATCGACAACGACGGGACGCGTCCGTTGTCGATGTTGGATAGCAGTTTAACTTTTTAAAGATGATGAATTAACTATTCTAGGACGAAATCACTGAAACAACTAGCACGTAATATTTTAGAGGGCGTAAGACAAGCGTTAGGTATGTATATATATATAATTTTGGTAATAAAGGATTAAAAGATTAACATAATGAAATATTTTAAAAACTTTATTATTTTTTACATGTTAATTTCAAATCGAAAATAAATTGAAAAAAAATTTCAATACCTTAATACGCAAGTGTTAAGGTTGAAATTACATTGCGCGATAGGTACATGTATCAATAAGTTGAAAAAATTCGACGATGAGTTGTAGGACTCGTTAGCTCAATTGGTAGAGCAACAGCACGGAACGCTGACGATTGCGGTTCAAGTCCTGCCCGAGTCGAAAAATTTTTCAATTTATTTTCGATATTTAAATTATGATGAAATATGTACTTAATAATTCTATCGCAATGGATTGTTCTGTAATGTTAGAATATGTTTATAATGAGAATAAATAAATAAACATTCAATTCATCTAACCACTTCACTCTACGATTTAAATCGTAAATTTCTCTTTAGAAATCTATAAATGTAGTCAATTAAAAATCTACTTACTGTCATATCTACTGTCTCTGTTTTGGTGGCCATTCTGAAACAAAATAATGTTTTTATTTAATTGTGTATTATCAAGCTAAAGATTTCCAATCTCATTTTGATTCAAATTGCATTTTACATAATAATAGCTAAATTGTGTTGTTCTCGTTTTAACTTAAATAATACATCATTTTTTAAATTCATCAATACATAAAATACGTAGTGAAATGTACGGAAAAGTATTCTACTTTTCTAAAAAATATAATTATAACATAGTCTTACTATATAATCTTACACCACCTTGAATACAGTTATACATACATAATACTGAATATATATATTTTACTATATGCATTACATACATAAAATTTGCTTATTAATGAGCGGTAAGAATATCTAAGTTCCGCTGTTTAATCGAGTTTCTTCAATATGTTGATTTCCTAATATCCAAAGCCAAAATTTTATAGCTGGGATATTTTGTCTACCGTAGAGTGGATGCTTGTCTGTCATCTCTATCATTGAAGAAATATTCATAATATATATTATTATCTATACCATATTTATAATATATTTCACAAACTCCGTAAACGCATCGTAGCACCACTTAACCATTCCAAATACTGAATTGGAAGCGAAGCAGCACTATGCAGCTGATATTTCAACGTCCAAACCCAATTTTTAACCTCAAAAAACTCGCTTGTCAAGAGAGCATTAGGCACAACTCCAACTAAATCTGACCATTAACCCAGCTACCATTATCTTCTAACGCTCATGCACAGACGATTCGAAAGATTCATGATCATATAATAAGCTATTTTTGCGTTCTATAAATAGATCAATCGAATAAATCCTCTTTCTTTTACACCGTTTTTTAACCTACCGGTTTACTACTGTCATAAATGGCAAACATTCGGTTATATTTAATTCGTTGGTATTTCAAATTTATAAAAAATAAGAGATAATGAAATTTTAGAATGTTGATTATATAAAATTTCTTGGTAAAGAAATAAATAATAAGTTCCTAGGCAAATGATAAATAAAATTTCTATCATAAATATAATTTCAGGATGAAGGTAGAATCACCAGACACAAAGTGCTTTATTTAAATTAAAAATGGATTCAAATGTATATAGTACCATCATGTGAATATTAAAGTTTTGCAAATGCTTTATAAGTGAAAAATCATGTAAATAATTCTTACCAATTCTATTCATTGATCAAACTCTCAAGTGAGTTATGAGAAATACTAGACATGTTTACGAGTGTCCGTATATTACCATGCAAATAGATCAGCTCGCAGCGGTTTATTGCCAATTAGG